CATGCCGTCCTCGCTTTGGCTGCATCCGCCGCCGCATCTCCTCTGCCCTCCGCCCTCCCCGCACCCGCCGCAAGAGCCCGCGCCACCGCCGCCGCCGCAAACGCGCTCATCACTCCCGGCCGCCCGTAAATCCAGGGGGCGCTGGAGGTGCCTCGGCACGAACGCCCGCCCGTCGGGCTGCGGGGCGAGTGCAGTGGGGTGGGACGCGGGGCGCTTGGCGTGGGGCCGTGGGACGCGGGGTGCGAGGTGCGTTGCTTCGGGCGTGGAGCGCGTGGTGTGGGCGAGGAGCACGGGGGTGGAACTCGGGGCGAACGCAGCGCTGCCTGCCGTCTACATCAGTTAGGAAATGTTTCTACGCTAACTGCCGGTAATCAAGATCCAAATAATGCTCCTGTAGTGAAGTATCTGCTGCGGCTGATCGTGTCTTACCTTAGCTGAAAAGGGAAGTGGGTAAAGAATCTTAGGCGCTGTCATTTAATTGTTTATTCAAAATTTATAACTGTCGATGGAACGAAAGAGTATGACTCTATCACAGTATGATCTTGATAATTTCTAAATTGATCTTGCACTACAACGTAATCCATGAGTCGCGAATGATAAAAAAAACAGAAGCCTAATTAACTCGAAATATTTTCATATCTAAGGAAATAAGTTATATTCGGGAAGATATCTGCAAAAAAATATTTTTATTAGGTAGTCAAGAATGTAAAACGTGGCCCTACACGTTCTTCGGGGTTTTGAGTCGAGGAGTAACATACAAATTGGAATTTCAATTATTTTTGTTCGGAATGGGTATTGTTCCGGAAAACATTACCTTTGCACGAAAAGACGATTTACTAAGCTAAAATATAACACATTAAATGTCATTTTAAAATAAGATTCAAGGCATGATATTTCATGTTTTTCATTCCCCATTTACAAAAAATGTACATTGTTTATCAAATAAAATATGTTAAGAACGATTACCACATTTTTGTTTCCTTCCACCAAATGTTTAAAACATGAATACCCAGCTTTCCTATTTAATGTGTTTCACAGAAACCACATTATCCATTATCCATAATATAATTGCACAAATTCTTATGTCGCCACCCCGCCGCTCTTGAGATGTATTCGGCACCACTCTCCTCGCCGACAAATTACACTAAAATAACGTTTTCAAAACGTTCATAACGGTAGCATTCAGAAACTTTTTCAACATAAATATCGTTATATTATTAAACAAAACTTTTAATTTTTACTTCAATACTTTTAATCGCAATCAAAAATAGAAAGTTTACAAGAACGCCATTTCTTCCGAACGTCATTTTTGACAACTGCCCCTAGAACATTGTTCAGTTCATCAATTAAATCTGTCAAAATAGCAGTTTTCTTACGACTTCAAACGAAATAGAAATTTATTTTCTATTTAACACTAATAAAACCGAATCCAAAGCAAGAGTATTTCCCGCCATCAACGTTCGACTTTGACTATCGCGGAGCTCGCTAATTAAGTATTATTTTTTTTGTTTTTAAACAGAATAATAAATGTTACTTTTACTTTCTCTCTGATGCTTACGCGGTATAGAGAAAGTATTGTAATGCTGCGAAAAAAATCGCGAAATTTCGACAGAAATCGTTCATTGCTGGGCTCTGATTACAAATAGGTGAATTAATATTGTCCCTATATACAGTAAATTACTTCATCTAACATGTTGAATAGACACAACGCATGATTTGTGGGTTCTTTAAAACTGATTGACGGCAAAACGTGTGCCTGTCTGGCCATTAGTCCACCTGTACGGGAACATCGGGGTTAATCAGTACGTATTTTTACCAAAATTGAAATTCCTAAATCTATCCTGTTGATGTCGCGGTCTCTTGGATTTGAAATTGATTGCTTACGCAGTATATTTATCTATACATCAGATATGTTCGTGAACACATTGAATTCTTAATACATTTAATTCAATGGTAGACAAATATTTTCATTTAAACTTTTGAAAAAAAAATATATTTTTCACGCTTAGGTTGTTTTCGTTAAAGTAAAATTTGAATTTTAAAAAGACAAAAGTTATGACTTAATATTACATAAGGGTATCATTATAATTTTGTAACATAGTATGTGCATAGAATTGCAGAAAGTATGTGCATAGAAAGTTGTCCATAGAATCAGCCCATGGCTCCGCGGGATCTCATTAGCCCAGAGTACCGCAAAGCGACCGCAAGCACCCTACCGCGCCGAGGGTGTGGGTTGCGGGGACCGTGATCACTCTCGTTATATCATTATATTACGTTTTCAAACGATGTACAAATGTTCTTTTCTACTTCGATTTACTTATCTCAACTAAAACACATTGTGCATGGAAGGAGGGTCACGCGCCCCACGCCCGTGGCTCCGCCGGCCCTCACCTAGCCTAGAGCGCCCCAACGCGACCGCAACCACCGGAGCGCGGCGTGTCGCGTGTGGGTGGAGGCGGGCGACAAACGGCGGGAGGGCGGCGCGGCCACGTTGCCGCGATCACTCACCCTGATTACGATGCCCGGCCGGGCGCCTTGCTTCCCATCCAACCCCGCCCCGCCGAATAGCCCAGCGCTACCTCGCCTCTCCCCGCCCTGCCCCTCCATCCGCCCCACCCCCACCCCGCCCTACCCTCCCCACCTCGTCTCTCTCGCCCTGCCCACCCATATTCCGCCTTCGCCCCGCTCCGCTTCACCCGCCCCGCCCCGCGCTCATCCCCACCCCTCCCACTCGCCCCGCCTCACCCCGCCCTGCCACTGCCCCGGCGCCCAGCACGTCGAGCGCGCGGCTCGCGGGGCGGGGGCGCGCAAAGCTTGCCCGCCTCGCGCCCGCCCTAAATCGGGCCACTCGCGCTTCACGCGCGCCGCGCACGCGGGTACTTAAACGCGTCGGATGGAGCCCGATAACGCCTGCAGAAAATGTTCCGCTACTGATCAAGTCAATCTATGGATTTGCACGTTTGGGGTGCGTTCCAATCCGACTTTTGCCATCTCGCAGTATCATAGGTCTGGGCCATGTTTGTAATTATCATTAAATGCATGGAGAGAATTTATATACATAATAACATGACGAGGGATAATAAATGCTTGAGTCTTGTGGAGAGAATAATGTATTCCTTCAATCATATCTAGACAACTTGGTTTGTCTGAGCTTTTTTCGACATATATCTATAGAAACTTAAGACGAATTTTTTTCATTAAGCTATAGGTACAATTTTTACCCCGCCCGGGAATCAATTCCAGCATCGCGCCACAGAAAGGATCACGCTGTCCATGAGCCTCCGAGTCTTCACAACAACAGATATATATATAAATTTTGCAAAACCGTGATATTCAGTATAGACGGCGTCATAACCGAAATCTCCAAGTGCAACTTAGAAAATATAGAATTGGGAATCATCCTTAACAGTAAGAAGTTTCTGATTTTTTCAACTACATAGAGTTTTGCCACATTGGGGAATTTTGTAGAATATGACCTTTTTTTCAAAATTTTACTTATTTCTACATCGTATGTTTTGGGCCGCAAATTTAATGATTTTAGTTTGCATGTTTTCATTGTAAGTACACATACTTCATGCTCTGCGCAATCGCGCACTCACAGGGCCCACATGGAGTACCCACTCGACAGAGACAGTTTGGAAATGGAGTCCTTGTGCGTCGTTGACACGAGCAAACCGTTAGTGCGTGAACAAGTCCGCTGCGAGGGAGAGAAAGGGTGAGCCTGAACATCGGAGTTCTGCGCTCCGGGCGGTTGACTCAGGTAGTGCCGCAGAGCTAAAATCACGGGAGCTGATAACTCCGAGGGATTGTGCCGCGAGCCTCGTTTAAGGAAGCGGCAAGCAACCTAGAACCCTGTGTGTGGGCGTTAACCAAACTCGCGAGTCGTCGCGCAGGCCGCGAGCCCTACTAGAACAGGTGGGGGTCACCTCAAACTATTAGCGGGCCATCTGCCCGCGTTCTCTTCAGTTAGCATCGGAGTCTTGGTAGTTGGCTGTACACGAGGAGATGTAAGGAGTGTGGGGCGAGACTGTCCGGAGATGTAAGGGCCAGACATCTCACGGTGGCTTAAGCGTCACAAGCGCCACGACCCGGGTTAAAATTTTTGGCGTCAGGCCAATGTGACGTAATTGTGTCACGGCGCGACGAGGTCGAATAGCGCGCATTCACGCGTGGCTTGTATTTCGGCGGTAAAGCAGTGTTTCTGAAAGAAAGTTGCCGAAGTGTTTAATATTACGCAATTTATATGTAATTGTAAATAATCTTGAAATATATTATTTTTATTTTGTTAATTGAAATTTATTCTTTTTCCTACGTCACACTCTCTTCCATCATCTTCTTCTTCTATTGGTCCTCTTCCATATACGGAAGTTAGGTGACCCATAACGGTTTTCTTGGGATAAATTATTCAGGGTGGTTTCCCGTTGCCTTCCCTGATATGATGATGATGGTGATTATGATGACGACAGGGGGTAAAAGGACGAACTCAATACAACCATGCCCGCGGCGGGACACGAACACGCGATCTTTCGGTACGAGATCGCTACGGCACTACTACCTTAGCGATCTCGCCCACCGGACCGGCCTCTCTTCCATAAATTAATGTAAATCGACGTGAAAAACATATGTGTACAATTTTTTTAGACTAAAGTGATGGAAAAAAAATAAATGTGTGAGTAGTCGAAGTTTTCCAAGCATTCAACGCATTGTTTTGCTAATTAAGGATCCAGCTTCTTTCTGATACTAACTATTGTGTACTAAAATAATTCGTTGACCTTGTTATGTCCTTCGTTCAATTTCATTAAAGATGTAGAAATGAATTTAAAACTTTGAATTTATCAAACTAACCCGCCAAATATACTTCAACACTGCAATTAAAAATTCAATAGGAAATAGAACGATTAGTAATAATCTAACAGTTCACTTATACATTTACACAGACATTTTGACATTTCTACTCAAATAAATGTATACCTAATACGTTAATATGAACTGGCTCTTACCTTTATAATTTCCATGTTTGATTGTCATTCAAGATGGAACAAGGCTCCCCCTAAAACATAAAATATAAATCAATTAATACTGCAGATATAAAGGGCATGTATCACAAATACTTACATATGCAACAAATTTCATTTTATCATGAATCTTTTGTTATTGTTTTTTTTATGGGTTCACTTTTCATCAGTGCAACATTTTATTTTATTTACTTTAAAATGCATGTAAATTTTACTACTTCCCTAAATTATTACAATTCTAACCAAAAAGTTGCTTTTTTAAAAGTGTAAAATGACTGGATTAATAAAGAATAGTTCAAGTATTACTACAATTTTGGACTAAATTTGAAACTCTGCATTAAATAGAAATTGATGATGAAAATGTTTCCTCAAATTTCCAGAAATTTGAATGAGTTAATATTGTTTTAAATAGTGCATAATATTCATAACAAAATTTATATATTGAGTGTGTAGTCCGCAATATAGGTAAAGACACTTTTGGATAACATTACCTACATTCAAAATATCGTGCTCTACTTAGAATACCTTAATTTTTTCATCTATAGACGCTGCACTCATTCTGGACTCAAAACCAAATTACTTAAATATAAGTAAATGATAAGATAATGATTAATTAAATATGTTTTCCTATCAAATAATGTATGAAAATAAGAATGAAATGTTATAGCGAATGGGAAAGCGATAGATTGACAAAACAATGATGATAGTGAAAGGTAGGAAAAATAACCGATTTATAGATCGAACTGCGTCAAAAACAGACAGTAGACTATCTAACGAAAAACATAATTGCAAAAAGAACAGGTAGATACAAGGAGGTTGCCATGTGATATGGTCACACACTGTCAGCCTGTGATAAATAATTTTCTTTCAAAGTTGCACTTTGTAATTTGAATGACTTTTATTGATGTAAATAATATTTTGAAATAGTTGCGATGAAGAGGCAATGCGAATTGAAAGAGAAGGGTACCCTTTATCAGTAGGTATAAATAAACGCAACTTTCTTGGAATATATGAACTGCGGTAGTTCTAAAATTAAGAATAAGAATCATGTAGTTTCTTAATAAATGTACGAACTAGCATCATCTGTAAAATTTGTTTAGTAAGCATGTACATTTTTGTTTGATACATTATATGGGATAGATCTCAATAGCAAAAATTATTGTATATAGTACAGTGCTGCATTACGTATGCATGATGTAGCCTCTCACAGTTATTTTTTGTATTTAAATGTTCACATTTGATATAAAAATGATAATTAGAGTACGAAATGGCACAGAATGACAAAAATATTGTAATTTCCAATAACTGTTTTTACGTAACAAACGTGTATTTAAAAAATCTTTCACGAAGGTTTTTCGCATATTAATTGCATTAAATCGTGATAAACAATAATTTGAATTTTGCCTTCCGTTTGTAAATGTAATAATATATTATATGAAGTATTAGAAATCTATAAAAAAACTTCACGAGTTATCAAAAGAATTCACAATTTCAAAATACATAATTTTAAACAAAATAAGTATCCAATCAGCCTATTATATACAAGCGAAACCCGGCACGCATTGTTCTGCCCTTTATCTTCCTTTTTCCCCTTCGCTCTCCCCTTTTCTCTCTCTCTTTCAGTCTCTTTTAATTCGTCTCTCTTCGTCTACCTCTCCGTCTCTCTCTCTTTCTCTCTGCTCCTGTCTCAGTCTGTCTCCGTGACTCTCTCTTCTTCTCTCTCCCTCTCTCTCCCTCCCTCTCTCTCTCTCCCTCTCTCCCTCTCACTCCCTCTCCCTCTCCCTCTCTCCCTCTCTCTCTCCCTCTCTCTCCTCTCTTCTCCCTCTCACGCTCTTCTCTCTCTCTCCCTCTCTCTCCCTCCTCTCTCTCCCTCCTTCTCTCCTCCTCCCTCTCTCTTCCCTCTCTCTCTCCTCTCTCTCTCCTCTTCTCTCCTCTCCTCTCCTCTCATCTCTCCTCTCTCTCTCCCCTCTCTCTCGCCTCTCTCTCTCCCTCTCTCTCATCGCTCTCTCTCCCTCCTCCTCCTCGCTCTCCCTCGCTCTCTCCCATCTCTCTCTCTCTCTCTCTCTCTCCCCTCTTCTTCTTCCCTCTTCCCTCTCGTCTCTCTCTCTCTCTCTCCCCTCTCTCTCTCCCTCCTCCTCCCTCTCTCTCCTCTCTCTCCTCTCTTCCTCTCTCTCTGTCTCTCCCTCGCTCTCCTCTCTCTCCCTCTCTCTCCTCTCTCTCCTCTCCCTTCCTCTCCTCCCCCCCCCTTCCATCTCTCGCCTCTCTCCTTCTCGCTCTCCCTCTCTCTTTCTCCCTCTCTCTTCCTCTCTCTTTCTTCCTCTCTCTTTCTTCCTCTCTCTTTCTTCCTCTCTCTTTCTCCCTCTCTCTTTCTCCCTCTCTCTCTCTCTGACCCCGTCTCAGTCCGTCTGAGTCTCTCTTCGTCTGTCTCTGTCTTCGCCACTCTCTGCTCCTCTCATTCACATTTTGTTGCAGATTCTGCACGGCTCTGAGCAAGTGAGATAATGTCAAGAAGCGCGAGACAAGCAAAAATGTAAAAGAATGTTCAAAAAGATCACATCCTGTAGATTACGGTGAGAGAAACGTACCTTTGAGGCCTTTGTCCATAAAATTGTAGCTTTTAATGCCAAGGACTCTTCGTTTATGAGTTATTGAACAACATTACGATTTAAAAATACTACCGTGTATTTCGGGTTGTAGTTGACATGAATAATTAGTTTTGTTTTACAGCGACATCTAGTAGAGTCACAACACAATTAACCAAAAATAAACCTTCTGGGTGAAAAAAATCATGTACATGTGCCATTCATGAAGACCGGTCACACGGGGTCGAAGTTAAACGCTCTTATATATACCAACATCCATTCATATATACATATATATATATATATACTATTATATTATATATAAAATTAACTTTGCACTCCTATAACTTTTTATACTATTATTATTATGGGCAAAATTCACTGTTTACTATAAAGTATTTGATATACAAACAAATACATATACATATTTTAAACTAATTTTACAAACGCATTATTTCACAATCACATCATTTTACTGTTATTGCACAATTGTGCTCTCCAGCTTAGCCAAGCAATATGTTTTGATATAGCAACGCTAGCTATCAAAATATTAATTTTATTTCTCAAAACTCTCAAAGTATCATGAACATCATCTTCCACACGGCCCCCACAACTTGCCACCCACCATCACAACCACCTTCACCATTACCACTATTACCACCAGTACCACCACAACCACCACCACCACCACCACCAACACAACAACAACAACAACAACAACAACAACAATAATAATAATAATAATAATAGAAATCACGCATTTGAAATAACAACTGCCTAGTTTGTACTCCTTTCTCGAATGTGTAATTTGTAATTAAGCGCACTGCTTGCCTTATAGGTGGAGTTAGTTACTGAAAAGCAGATACGTAGGAAAGAAACTTTTCGTCTGCGGCAAAGAAATAGGTCCCCGCCGTTTCGCGCGCGATCTTTCCTTCCACTTTCGGGTCCTATCCTCGCCTTTATACACACACTTCCACTGACACAAACTACACTACCACACAAGTCGTGAGACCAGAGATGTAGCCACCTAGAACGGTGCTCCAATAGGGAAGATATCTGGATGGGAAATACTCCGCAAGACGACGTAAAGGTCGGCTCCTACATCTCACCATCAAGTAGATGACAAACACCACCTTCCTGGATATACTGGACTAATGACGATAGCAATTCACGTGCCCCGAAAACATCAATCAATCAATCAATCAATCAATCAATTTAAGTTTTCCCACTTGCTCGCAAACCGCAACGATCATGCCTTATTCCCCTTACGCATACTGCCCTCCTTGGTCTCGTCTATCCCCGCCCCTGAAAGTCTCCTCGTCGGTTTTGGGTTCCCTCATACCCTCCTCCGCAGTTCTTCATTCGCCAGAACAGATCGGAACTTTCGTAGAGGACCGACGTCGTCTCGGTGAAACAAGTTGTTCCACGTTCCACGCAGCAGAACAGGACCTTCATCTCTGCGCTTCCCGTTTTCTTACTTCTCCTCAACTTGCTGCAGGAATGGGAAATCCGCCTTTCAGCCAGAGGGAAGGCATGAGTACTTTCAAAGAATGTTCTACTTGTGTATTTTTAGATTCACTATTTACCACTGTCAAGCATTCAATTTGGGAAAAGAAAAATGGAAATTCATAAAGTTAAAATTTACTTATTTCTTTAGTGGTAAGCAATTTAGATAAGTAAAGTAGAGATGCAGTAGTGGCTGAAAACATTTCCAATGTCTCTTTCATATGTTTTATCATCACTAAAATGTTAAGACAAAATTCGCCAATTGGAATACTGAGTCTATTGTTTAAAATACAATAATATATTATATATTTTTTTAACTTTGATTTTATTTAGAAAAATGATTTTAATTATTAAATTTAGAAGTATTTATCAACATTTCATGTTATTTAAAGTAAGTAGTTGTACAGTATGTGCTTACTCTCAAATAACAATAACACAATTTCCCGCTTGTAAATATGGACATATGAGACCATTCACACACAAATACTAAGCTCTATTAACATCGAAAATATCTAATAATTGATTTGTTCAATATTATTTAAATAATAAGTTTACGAAAAGAGCTATTGTAACAAAATATTATACATTCAGAGCTACATCAGAACTAATATTATGTGTTAGAGTATAAAGATTATACAAGTTATACAATAGTACTAGTTATATAACGATAGGAGTATAGTACGTAATTCATACTTCTGATCATGGATTAATAAGACCGTATACTGCTGTCATGCTAAAAAAAATCATGTTGAATACGAGAAGCATGCCGCATTAAATGAGTTCTTATTATTTGTAGCGGGGCACCCCAGAAGAATGGAACAAAATATTTTTCAATGCAATAATCGAAGTCGAAAGCAATCATGGTGAATGAGACAGGGGTACAAAAGGAATTGAACGCTGTAGTCAATTATGGCGGTTTGTAAAGACAGATTAAATGCGACCATGTT